TGTTCATGATAAACAAACATCATAGCATTCTTTTCTATTAACAATGGGCTCCCTGATCTAGGACAGAGGCTGTCTGGAGGTCTGTCTTTAGACAAAACAAGAAGTCGTGAAAACACTCACAGTCCCTACGTAGACATGGTGGGGAGTTTCACACACATGCACGTGCTGTCCCCCTCTAGTCAAAACAACAAGCAGGGCTGCTGTAGTAGTTCCAGCAATCCAAGGTCAGCATGTGACACATCCAAAACACTCACTATCTCTCTGTTTCTCACACACACACACACACACACACACACAGATCTTTTTCAATGTTCAGGACACAAACACGATACTAAATGGCATAATCAAGAGGTCACACACACAGGCTGCATTGAACACTGAGAGGAACGTATCCCAGCTGCCTTAGGACAAACTCATACACACACAGACACACTCAACTACTCGCACACAAGCAAACACATGCACATAAATCCAGTATTTATATACATTTCTCAGTCTGACCAGAACTCTTTTGAACAAGAGAGTAAACAAGTCCAGACAAGGCAGCTGTTCCAATGTCCAAGCCAAGCTGTTTAAGGTCAGAAGTTTCAGACACTTTGACAGATCCCCTTGTTTTTATAGTCTTAATTGACTCCTTGCTGGTCAATGGACCATCTCTGAAAAGCCAATGAAAAATGTTTTGTATCAAAAATTAAATCTTTAACTGTATTGTAATAACACATGAAATGAAAACTTTGAAAACATTTTAGCATCATCCTCTATCATATTGTTTATATCACACATACTGTAGCCATTTAAAGAGTCTGTCAGTTCCTGTTTTTTTGCTGTAAAAATGTGGCCTTTTACATGGGTTGATAATATAAAATATCCTAATCCCGCCTAATTTTGTAATTTCACTGAATCAATCAAGCAATAACACAGAGACAATCTTGCTAAAAATGGTGTGTAAGATTTCTCAAAACACCACCATTCACACTTTAATTTAAATCTATCCTCATTATCCTTCTGCTTTTTAAGTTTCTTTTCTGTCCTGGGGAATCACTTACTTTACTCAATGAACCACTTTTTTATTTTGTTTTTTTTGAACTTGCAGTAGCTCATAGGGTGATTTTCAAGCTAACAAAGTTGTAGTGTGACGCTAAATCCTGATCATTAGAGATTATAATGCTCCTTACCAGATACGAGCTGCAAGGAATACTGCTTTTGTCAGTGTCACAAGAAGTCATTGATGCGCATGTAAATCTTTTTTTAAACTTCAACACAGCCATCTCTCATGGCAGTGTATCAAGGGTAAACAAAGTTAGGCTGCCAACCTTTCCCTGAATAACTAATCATCCTCTATTCATTACTCGTAATAGGTCTTTACTCCATTGTGTCAGCGTTCTTTGTTCCTTGACTCCACATTATTTTACAACCTCCACTTTGACTTTGAAACGATACGGACGGTAAACTTACAGGCCCGGGGCTTTGTTCACTCATATAATAGCAGTTTTTAAGATTATGTTTGCTCATCTACCCACTCCACCCCTCTCTGCAGTCTCAACAATAAGTGCAGTGAATAATCTTGCTTCATAATTTGCAAAGTGCTCAGACTTCCCTGCTCAGTTTTTGCTTTGTTTTCTTAATTGCATCTTCAAGCTTGCACAATGGGAACTACCATGAACCCACACCCTAACCCGCACAGACACCAACACGAATGAACACATTTGCCCAACTTGTTTATCCATATAGCAGTTTTCTAATTAATGTGTAGACCCTCAATGCTTATCTGCCCAACTCTCCCCCAGTCTGCATCTTTAAGCTTTTACACACAGGGGGCCTCTCCAGCGTGAACTATACTGTATGTGAGTGTGAGTGTGTGTATGTCGAGGGAGGCTTTACAAATGTACAGAGAACCTCAGGGTTTTCCTTTCTTTGTTACCTTCCCAAGGCCACAACCACACAATAGTCTCTCTCTCTCTTGCACACAAAAATACACACACACGCGCACACACGCACACGCACACACACACACACACACACACACACTGGGGAGGTTGCCTCTCTTATTGTAACACATTGATGAAGTACACTGCTGTCAGGTACAACTGCTACCTCTGTGGTTTAATTAACTGGTATGAAACAGAAGGCGGAGAGGACAGAGACAAAGGAGGGTAAAGATGGAGGCCTGATAAGTAGGACTTTATTTGAATTTCAGAATAATTTTCCCCCTTTTTTTTTTTTTATTGTAGTAGTCTCCCCTCAACTTGAATAACAGCAAACATGTATGTGTGTGTTTCAGAACGAGTGACCCTGCCCCTCTCCTTCAGTCACTGTCAGTCTAAGGGTGCTGACTACATGTCGCAGTATATTTAGGCTGATGGAGGGGTCGAAACTGCTAATGCGTTGTTGTGATACTGGACAAATGTTCAGCAGCAGCACACTCACACAGGCACATGAACAAACATACACACATAATAGATGCAAATACACACACATAAACACACACACACCCAAACAGGCCACTGACTGTCTCTTGAGATTAATGTTGGTGTGATCCACTCAGCTGGGCCTGATCACATTAAGATGGATGGACCCCCTAGTGGTATGTCTATCTCTGTGTGTGTATGTACATGTGTGTGTGTGTGTGTGTGTGTGTGCGTGCACGCATGCAGGGCCCCATCTGTCTATGTTTTCTCCACAGCTAGGTCCTATGACCTAGCTGCCATCTCTGGTGCCCTCATCGAGGATAAGCAATACCCTGAGAGGAAAAGATGGATGGATTGAATGCTATGTTATCTTTTGTTTTTCATTTTTATCCATGATGTATTATATTGATGTTCTATTTTTAAAATGAGAATGACAGTATTGTAGATAAAACAGTGAAACTGAGATGTTTTATTCATAGTAAAAAAGGAGTGTTTAAAAACTTTTGGATCTTCTAACGATGGTCTCTAGCTATGTGTCTTAATTTTGCTTGATAAGCACTCCCATTGCATTGAAGTGATAAGTGCTAATCTGCCTGGTGTAAATGCCTAAAAGTGGATGAATGTGAGCCACTAGCAGAAGCCCAAGAAGTCTTAACCTCAAGAGGTCTGAACCTCTTCACTCGGTATGTAAAAAGAAAACCTAGCAACATTTAGATTTTGTACTGTAAACTTGTATGTCTTTGTACAATCTGCAAAATACTTTTTACTTATTTTTTTCTCAATTTGGTTTATAGATTATGTCTGAATATGTTTCCCACAGCTGCTGCTGCTGCTGCCAGATCTAGTGTGATGATAAATCTACTTGACCCAAGTTCACTGAACTGACACATCTTATAAACAGGACGGCAATTGTGTCTGTGGTCAAGCAAGAATTCTGTGATGTCCTGTTTGTGTGGACATTCTGGGAAACCCCTGATAATCACCATAAGTCTGTCACGGACTGATACAGGGTTTTTTCTGCTTGTGTCTAATTCAAAGACCCGTACAAGCTTCCTTAGATAACAGCATTCGATGGTTATTTATCATTAGTAAGATGTTTTTGTCACGGCAGTAGAGTGTTTTGATTCCACAGAAAAGCAATTTAAGAATTGTGACACATTTGGTCAAGAGCAAACAGCGCTTTTGATCTTCAGTCTGTGTCAAAAGGTTACATTAGTAATGCTGCATTTGTAGATGGTCATGTTTTGTTGTTTGTTAGTGGCTATGCTGTTGTCTTATTAGTTACACTTTGCTTACTTTAAGGCTTTCAGTGAAAACCCCACTTTGCATGCTGTGTTCCACGGATGGGATACATTTTGTGCTTTACAAATTCTGTTAGTAAACATGACGTGATCTGTGTGGCTCCATTGGAAATTGAATTCTTCAGTGTGGCGGTGTTAGATTTGCCAGTTGAGTTCTACAGTTACTTAACCCCCAGTTCCTGCAGGTCGACTTTTGATACTACGCAGGAAGACACCTCTCAAAGGGTCAAAGATCTTGTTCTTTTAAAGGAAGACAGAAGATGAATGGTCTTATTTATCTTCAATATTTTCATTCCCTTACACACACACACACACACACACACACACACACACACACACGCGCGCGCGCACTTAACCAATTACAACGAAAACTCGTGTTCAACCAACAGCATGTCTGAATGGATGCCAGAAAAATAAGCCAATATTGAGTTCAAAGAAACTTCTGTGATGACGTTTATAGTGTATATTTTTATTCTAATGTGACAAACTAAAGAACAGAAATAAAACCTCAGAAATGTAAAAAAAAAAAAGTTGAATAACAGTGGGCCTTGTTCTTCGATTCAGTGGTGATTTAGAGGGAACTCTTGAAGAAAAGCCTCCTTCATCCCAAACAAAGACTCCCCTACAGTTGATACTATGCCATGCGTTTGGTTCTGGTGTGAGCCAGTGTTTCTTGTTTTGAGTTTTCTGGTTACTCTCTCTTTCTCTCTCTCCTCCCTCCTCACTTCATGGTTAATTTAAATTGTGCTTTTCTACTTGTTTTAAAACAAAAACTTCATTGAGTCTGATTTTTTTTCCACTGCCGCCCCTCAGTCTGAGAGACAGCTGTCCACGGTTAATTCAGGGCTCGCTGGATCCCTAATAAACAGAACAGTTTCTTCTCATGATTTGACTCTACTGGGAAATCATGCGCCACTTGATTTCATAGAAATATTAAAAATATTTTTCTATCTCCTTGGTCACCATTGTCTCTTACATTTTTCAGAAGTCCCCAGTTCAGCTGGTTCAAGGGAAAAACTTTAACCCTCGCAAAAATATATATTTTATGACTTGTAATGTTTAAAGACTGTGGTTTTATAAACTACACATTGATTATCCAAAGTAAGGATTCATTGTGTTGCTGATTTTAATATCACTCATGAGTATTACATAAAACAAAGCTGAATTTTGAATATGCTTATTTTACGCTTATGCTAAGTGTTTTGATGATTGAAGAAATATGCTGTCTTCCAAAGGCATCCATCCTATTTTCTTCCACTCACCTTCTCTCTGTCTGTTCCTGTCCATGTAGGTGTCTGAATGCGTGTACCTACTGCAAGACTAAACATGCCAGAGGAGACCTGGCCAGCTATCCAATCGAGGAGCTTGTGGAGAGAGCCAGTCAGTCCTTCCAGGGTGAGTACAATATCTCCCTCACTCGTGCATTTACCCCATTAGAAAATCGTCTTTATAATAAGGGATACTTTTACAGAATTAGCTCTCATTGAATTCCTGGTAAATATACTGATGTTTATACTGTGAAATGTAAAATACTGCTGTTGGACTATTAAAGATGCTGATTTTTGGCAACATGGTTTTTCGGTAGAGTTTGAAGTCAGATGAACAGCTGCTGTGCCTAGGCATCTGTTTTGGTTAGAGATGACTCCCAGAGTCCCCAACAACACAGTGGGCCATTTGTCTATTAGAGCCCCAGGCGGGTCAGTCAAGGGCAAGGCTCCCACACTGTGAACACAAATCTCACTTCCAGAGCATTTACCTTTATACATTATTATCTGTTGTATTTTTTAGAAAAATGAATGTAGATTTGAATGTAAAATCTCGATTATATATGGATAACCAAAAAAAAAATAATAATAAGTACATGCAACGGAATTAAAAACCATTTTCATCTTTCCTTCGCAATGATCATCATCTCAGCTGCTCTTCTCCCTGCTGGATTACAAACCTTTGAGCCTCATGTCAAATGCTGCATTTTGGGTCGTTACGCCTGAAGTACTGTATGACAAGCTAAGGTCAATTGTCTCATTGTATTAACATTTCATGCTCATTCACATAATTAAAATGTAGTTTAACCTGGAAATGTTATTATGAATGTTTTAGAAGAGCTATTTTTATATTCTCATCAAAGCCAGTATTTGATCACTGTCAGTACAAAGACCTGGCAGAGACATGAAAACAACTTTTTTTGGTTTTTGCTTACCTTGAAGGACAGGTTAGATCAATTCTCAATGTTGTAACTTTAATGGAACTATTCATTGAAATACTATATGCAACAACTTCTATTACTGTGTCTGCAAGTTGATTACCTTAAGCTTTTACACAAAATACTCTTAACCAACTCCAATGTCATGTCAATTGATAAAGTCTGCTTGGGGTGGTGGTTGGGGTTTACATCAGAGTCAAAGAGCACAAGACTTTGACACAAGAGAAGTCAACACCACGCCATGCTGTTTCCCTCCACCAAACCTTTCCTTTTTTTTTCTCTTTTTTGGTTTTAACCGAGAAATGTTTTTGCCTGAACCAAACCATTAGGCCTTTAAATGTTAAGCATGTGATTAAAAGACATCTTAACCAAGCCTTTGAATTTAAACACCTGGGCTGTGAAGGCATTGGGCAGTTAGCACTCAGGATACAGTTGTTCAGAGATTTATCCTGATACAAGAAGTTCTCACTTGCACAAATGGTAGTCGCCATGTTCTGTTGTGTGCAGATTCCAATAGGAAAGCTTAATATTATCTTTATTCAACAGAGTTAAAGACACTGCACAGCTGTTTTTATTCTTATGGAGCACTGTAAGGAACAGTTAGCACAATGCTAATAAGGGATGCTGATTCATTTTCTAGCAAAAATCACTACCAACACAGTTGTCAGACCAACTTGAACAAGCAGCCTGGACTTTGAAGCAGGGTTGTTGTTGGTCTGAAGAGACCCTGGGTTTATAATGGGTCAATGAAAAACAGAAAATACCCTTCACAAGGACAGGGCTTTATAAACCCTTCCAGAACTCTTTAAAACAGCTGCATCCATGCCACACCAGTGCCCGGGGGTGGGCAGTCAAGGGCAAACTCACCAGCTGCTTGAACCTTGGCGTGTGTGTATGTGTGTGTGTGTGTGTGTGTGTGTGTGTGTGACTGTATTCCCTTAAAAAATGTACTTAGTTAAACTCAGTTATGGCTGTGTGTTTGTCTTGGTATGTGTGTAACCAATTCTAACACAGGAAACACAAGTGTCAGTGACGGTTACTTGTTGTTTTCAAAACAGAGAAAGAGGAAGCAGGAGGTAACCGCCTGTCATGATTCACAGGCAGTTTGAAGAAGACAGAGATGTGTAATGAGAGATAAAGTTGCACTGTCTGTCCATTGTCTCTTACTCATTGTATCACATCAACACACACACACACACACTGAAATGCAGGTTTAGCCCCCATTAGAAAAAAAAAACAAGACAACAACTCTGCCAGCCTTATTTCCTGATTCTTGTCTCCTCTTACCCACACACATAAAACACAAACATGCTCAATGCTGAGTGTGATAAGCAGGTTTCATCTCAGGAATAATTTAGCCTCCACACCCTTTCGCTATCTAATCTATTTTTCTATTCCCTACTACTTATAATATATTTCTCTTTTGTTAAACAAATAAAATCATCTACCAGATTTATGAACCAAATGTGTGCTGTTTACTCCATCAAATATTTTTGTTAGGTTTGGAATTACATTATGGCAGTGCAGCACTGCCCCTTTTTTTCTCTCACTCTCACTCCATTAGCCACCTTTTTCTTATCTCAAACAAATTGAGCCTCACAAATAGGCTGCAATTCGATTTGCTATTTGATGTCTTTTGAATGAGAAAGGCTGCAAGTATGAATGCTAATTTTGATTGGCCAGTCAGCCAGCGTTGGGGATATTTGATTGGTTTATCGCAGAGAACTTTGAAAGGATTTATGGGTTTTATTCAAATGCGATTTGAGGTAAATAGCTCTCTTTCCATCTAGAAAAAAGAGACAGTGAGTGAGCGCACAGCTTTTAAAATAATCTGAATTATTCAAATGTATGAATGTATAATTTTTAACATCAGAGAGGTTGGTTAATATATGCAGGTAATGGAGGCTGGGGATGTCATAGGAAATGACAAGGTGGTGGGCGTGTGTATGTGTCTGGAGGTTCATACTCAAAGTTTTGTGTGTGAAGGAGGCATGCTGGGAAACTGTGATTGAATGTGGGTTGGCCTGTGTGTCTGCACAGAAATGTGTATCTTAAAGTGTGTGTAAAGTAGAAGAATATTTAACCATATTTCTCCGGGTGAGCAATCCTGGAGATGGCAGTATTTTGTATGAGGTGTTTACAGTAGACATGAGGTAAACAACCTCCATCCAGCAGCAGCCGGCTAACAAACCGATGACTGTTTTCCTCATCACTTCACCCTCTTACCTAAAAGTCACATATCTTCCCCCTTCATCCTTCTTTTGTCCCTTACCCTCCTGTCATTTCTCACTTCTTTAAGTTAATATTATAAAGATCTACTTTGAATTGAATGTAATATTCTTTATTATCTTGAATATAAAAGAGACAAAATTTAAAAATGTAACAATTTATGCATGGTCTGTATCAGGCTGTTTTCACGTCATGGTGTCTCCCCTACTCCCCTCCTCTTTGCTTCCGCATTTATGTTTTTTTAGTTTAAATTCCAGTGCAAATTGTTTGTTTTTGTTTTCACCAGAGAAAGTAGGCGGTTTTAAGGCACCCTTCGCAGCCGTTTTGAAACAGAAAAGTTTCAAGATGATGCATAGCTGATTCATCACAGAAGCTTCAGTGTCCGCAACATAGCAACCTGAGTGCACATCAACTCTTGGGAGGAGGGGGCAGGGGTGGAAAGCTCCCTCCAATGTTTTAGAATTTGGACTGCAGTACCAATTTTAAACACTGGGTGTCAGAGATACAGATTGCTTCTTAATTACCCTAGCATAATATCATTTCTGTAATAGTTTAAGCTAAGTTAACTTATTTTGAATTTAGCTGGGTTATCTTATAACATACAAGGTGATGTTAAAATGGTTTAAAAGGCCTTAAACCTGAACATATCCATCCTGTAAACACCATGTCTGCCCATTTCAGATTCGACACAGTACACATGGTGCCAGTCAGTCATTGTGAGATGCCAGGGCTGTGCACCAGAGAAAACTCTATTTTTGTTATGGTCTTCAAACCCCCACTGTGGCTGTCACCTTGTCATTTTAAACTGTCTGTACTCTGTGTTTGTTATGGCCCTGTGTATAACAGGACATGACGCTTCATAGATACAGACACACTGCTATCACCCCCACATGACACTCTCCATTAGTGTGCGATATGCGCCTCGGCGGTCATGTCACCGTCTGATTTTTTTGGGTTTTTAGAGGTTGTTGGCATAATGACAACACAAAACAGAAACCCTATTTTACCAGCTGTTCCTTTATGCTTTATGTAAAACAGTTTGATGAACTGCATTCTTAGCAAGAAACAGAAAATGCAGTGTAATGCGTGGATGATCACTTGAGCTGCTTTTGCAGATGAAATGACATAATGATGGCAGTTAGTAGGGATGGATAATGTTTTTAGAATATTCAATTTATTCATTTTTTAATTGATTAAGTCATTCATTCTTAAAATATTTTTACGAGCTAGGTTGTAATGCAGTACTTATGCCAGTCGTTTGCTGTAGCGCATCTCAAAGCTAATTGCCACATTAAATAACAGAAGAAGAACAAAGCATGAGTGTCAGCTGACATGAATGAGGCGATGCGCTTGGGCTAGTTTAGACAGACAACTCGAGCTGCATCGATTGTACACTTGACATGCGTCATTATCCACAATCACCTGGCAACACATCCCTCCAATTGGCGGCCTATTTAAGAGGAAAGATTTCTGGTCTTGCCTTCTTTACTCTCATTGCCAGCTCTGACCTGCACCCGTACTGGACACTTGCTTTCAGCCCGACCACCAACCCAGCATTCACCTGTAGGCTCTGCGAAGGGTGATGCGATTGAAGCCTAGATGCCAAGTACAAACTATGTTCTGCAGTAAACAGTTAAAACAAACACAAATGTGAGTTGCCTGACCAAACTGTATAGTTAGACTTTAGAGATGCTAAGAAATTTACTTGGCATATTTTAACTTAAGGAAAAATCTATTTTACTTTACATTAAGAAGTAAAATATGCATTTCTTTTTCAGTTCAAATTCCTGCGGCCGCAATGCTAAATCTGTTTACCTGTTAATGGAAACATCCATTATGCGTAAGCATTAAATGAACTTAACTCAGATGGACATCCCTGTTGAAACGTTGAAAAAGTGAGTCACTGGCAATAATTCAAATTGTTAACATTTTTCCACTGACTTTGAAATAGTAGTTTATTTGA